TTTTTTTTTTTTTTTGGGTCCCTTGGGAACTAAAACAAAATTGCGCTCTGAGGTGCTGCTGAGGTGGAGGTGGTTTATGTGAAGGGTGCGGGGAGCTTTGCGGGCTCATCTGGAAGACATGTTTCACAGTGGAGGCCGGTAAAGACGAAAAGAAAACAAAAGAAATGGACTCGTGGGGGGAGTAAGGGGTGAGAGGGAAAGAAAACTTAAAAAAACTTAAAAAAAGAGTTGCCGATGAATTTGGGCCCATCCAGTGCTGAGGTCACGGGCACATCCAGCGCCAGCGCTGGGGTCGTCAGCGCCAAAAAGAAACAGTTCGTGCTGGCTGTGCCCGAGAGTATTAGCTCAGCAAGTGGAACGGGGGTGGAGTAGAGCTGACTGTTTCCTTGCTAGGACTGAAGCGCCACAGGATGGCTGTGATGGGGCCGCAAGTGACGAAACGAAAAGAAGGAAAGAAATGGATGTACGTGTGTGGGGGGCGCTGTAAGCGCAAAAAAGAAAAGACCGATGTACCTAGCCAGAATGACGGACAGATGCAAACCCTCAAAAAGAGGAGGGCAAACACTAAGTTCTAGAAAAAAGTACACCCCTTTTCAAGGCAGGAACCCAAACTACCTGTACTGGGCCATGAATGTGGTCAGATTCAGTCCAATTCTTACCCACACACAAAATGGTGTGCCTTGAATTGGACTGAATCTGACCACATTCATGGTCCTGTACAGGTAGTTTGGGTTCCTGTCTTGAAAAGGGGTGGTGTACTTTTTCTAAAACTTTGTGTTTTCCCTCAATCCCCCGTCCCCCGAGATGTGGGCTGAAAGTGGCGGTAGGCCCGTATGAATGTTTGTGCTTAAACCACCAGTACTTGGCCCAGTTATCGTCCACGGAAAATAAAAGAGTAGAAACGTTTCTAGTTGGATGAATTTGGACGCTCCTGCAGTGGCCCGTACGTTTCTTAAAATCCTGGCTTGTTAACGGGCACAACTTTAGGAAGTACTGCAGTGGTTTAATGTTTTGGTTCCTGGACTCCATGCTCAATATCTCCCCCCCCCCCCCCCCCCCCCCCGGAAAAAAAAAAAAAAAAAAAAACCGAACTGGATGCAGCTTGCCAGGGAAAGTGATATGAGCATCTTCCCCTAGAAGGCCTACCTCTGGATTCCCCAGTCTATTGGTGGGGCCCACCACGTGCTGGAAACAGGGTCCAGCGTCCCATTACATCATTTAGTTCGACCGCGCCCACCGTGGCCATTACCTGGCTTCGGCTGTCAACAAAAACAACCCTCGGGTCGTGCTCAATATTTGTGCGCAATGTGTTACGGACTTCTTCAACTGAACCTTGTAATATGCGAAGTCGTACAGGAACGTCCTGGTGTAAATACACCCGTTAGCTCTCTCTTTTTTTTTTTTTTTTTTTTTTTTCTAGATATATTATCTGGCAATGTTCATGTCAGTTGGAGAAGAAGATGTGTTTGTTCTTTTTTGAAGTTTTGTGAACTTTTTCATATTTCTTTTCCGGCCATCCGGCGGAGTTTCAGTCCGGTTCTTTTCCCACCGGCAAGTCAAAGAAACACAGTGAGAGTAAAGTGACACCCACTCAAGACGTCTCCCGAAATTATGGCCTGGGGGAGCTATGGCAGCATTGATGACTTGCTGCATAAGGATTGACGGTCAGCGAGCCCATACGTGCAGCCAGCTCCCCTTCCCCTAAAAAAAGACAGGCTTCAAAACAACCAGACTCACCAGAGTAATGATTCCTTCCAATCCGCCTCTGTGGACCTCGTAAAAATTCTGTGCAAACTAGGACAAGTGTGGTCCTGGTAAAAAAAAAAAAAAAAAAGCATGCATGCAGAATGGGGTTCTGTGATAGGCAACCGGACTGACGCCCCTCAGAATAGAAGGGGCCTTGTTTTTTTTTTTGTGTGTTTTGAAGAAATTAATAATTATAGTCCAATAACCCAACGTTGAAGATCCGCCGTACTCTTGAGGCAACCAACATTTGTTGGCTTTTTTTTTTTCTGCCTTCGAACTCGAATCTGCCTAACCCCTTGCCCTCTCTTCTTGGCATTTGCACTTCCGGTTATTGTTCCCTCCTTTTGTTATTCTTCCTTTTCCATGCCGTAGGCATCCCCCCCTCCTTGACCTTGATATCTTGCTTCCTTAACTAGTTCCAATGAGAAGTAAACTTTTACACCAACCAGACAGTCACCATGCCGTCCTTCAGATCCTCCATTTAAATTAGAATGATACAGAGAATATTAGCATGGCCTCTGGAGGCCATAGCCTGTGACTTCTACCGGGCCATGCCTGACCTTCACCCTGTGACCTGCATCAGCTCAAAACATCATCTTTCACTGGTCAGTATCTGTTGACATCACAAAGAGTGAGCGCGCGCACGCGAGAGAGAGAGAGAGAGAGAGAGAGAGAGAGAGAGAGAGAGAGAGAGAGAGAGAGAGAGAGAGAGAGAGAGAGA